CAGAGGGAGAAGCAGACTCCCTGCTGAGCAGGGAGCCTGATGTGGGACTCGATCCTGGGACTCCGGGATCATGACCTGAGCCGAAGGCAGTTGCTTAACCAACTGAGCCACCCAGGCGCCCCGGGTCCTCAGTTTTTAAGTGTAAAAAGGATCTAAAACCCAGGAGTTTGAGAACCGCTGAATTCTGAGGATTTAAAATTTTAAATAAGCAGCACCTGCCTTTTCCCTTTTAATAATCGCAAATCTTTTCTTGAAATCTCTCTTATCCCTTTGCTCCTGTTTTAATCACAATATCTAATACACCTATTGGACAAATGAATAAATGATCAATGCACTTGGCAAAGTGGTTACTGTAATATACTTTTAATCTATAAAACTAGAATATAGAAGGCAGAATGTATAGGATGAACATGTAACCTGAAAGTTAAGAACTTTGATGGCAAAAACATTTTCAGTTTTTGATGGCAAACTTTGAGCTAGCTCTGACAGAAAAAAAGTACATAAAGCGTATTTTAAAGGAATATGCAAAAATTGTTTACTTATAATTATATCCTTTCATTCTTCTCCCCAGAGATTCCTTCAGTCGGATGAGCCTGCGCAAAATGGATCTTTAAAATAAATGCACTTGTCTTATTGATTTGAAGAGAGCCATGTATTCAACACTGAGTATGAAAAGAAGTTAAGATTTATTGAAAAACAAGACTTGGGGCTTAATTCTGGAAATTCTAGCATTAATTACTACTCATTGAAGAACGCAGTGGCCAAAACAGTATCAAAAGTAGATCACTGAAGTTTGAGAATCATGGCCATGGTTTCTCATGTTCTGGTAATATGCTGTTATCTTTTTTTAAGATTCAAAAGTAATGACTCACTATACATTTACTATTATTTATACCATAGCTAATGTTAAATTTATTTACTTTAAGTTTGTATTTTTTAATTTATATTACCATTTATAGATTCATTTTGGAACCATTTTAAATGTAGTAATGCTTATTTTAAAGGTACTATTAAATATGTGAACGTTTACACTAATTTTACCGAGTGAGACTTTAAAAATTTTTGTTGACAAAAGCAGAGAATCTTGAATTGATTCAAGAACTAGTTCCAAAACTAGCAAAGTTTTAAAAATGAAAATTGACATTGTATGGGCCAAAGAGCCCCAAATTAAATAAATGAATAAATGGGTAGTAGATAGATATTGGTAACTGGTTTGTGAAGTCTTAAAACACGTTTCTAAGGTATTTTCCATTTAGAAACCAAAAAAAAGGGATTCAGGATAAATTGCAGAATAATTTTACCTAACGAAACTTTGGTCTGTAACAATTGAATACTGTTGATAGCTGACAGTAGCTTTATCTTTGACTCTCAGTCTTATTATACTGATAGTATGAACTTCATGACTCTCAGCAAGTAAAGTGAATGATTCCTATGTTTCAGATTAAACAAGCCAGTCATTTTATGAGTTTGGTCATCTAAACTGGTCAACTAGAAATCTGCTTTAGAGCTATATCACCATAAAAATGACACTGAGAGCTGGTGTTCGATTTTAATCTACCAGTTGAATGAAAAGTTTTATTTTTTAATGCTTGTATAGACTTTATAAAGTATACGTAAAAGGTAAAATTACCTGTTTTAATTGAAATTAAGAACTAATTTAAAATAACTTTGACATGAAAAACTAAGGGAAAAATCTTTTTGAAAATATTTATTCCAATTACTTGGCAAGTTTATCCAAGAAACTACATATTAATGATTTTTGGAAGTGTTTTCAACAATGTTTTTTTTGTGTGTGTAGTAATACAGCTTATAGAAAGGCATCATTTTTAAGCTGTCCCTTTGATCTATTGACCAGTGACATGAATCACTTAAAAACTAATTAAATATGGTGCCTTCATTCTGTAGTTGTTGAAACAAGATCTCAAAAATACCTGCTTTTCCTGAGAACATAGGAGATGGTTGATATATCCTTTCTCCAGCCTACCTTTATAACTGGCACTATTATCTCAAATTCATCTTACCTACATCAATTCAAAGACTGAATCACAAAAAGATTTTTCAGATGAGTCAACAATGTTGGACCAAAAGGGCTGAGGAGTCAGAAAGGCATAACCTCAAAAACTTGGGGACAGAGGATCCACATGAACAATAAGGGAAGACGAGCCAAGAATGGAAATTCATTAAAACAAAAATAAGGTAACAAGTACTCTCTCCTCTTTAGGGCAAGGGATGGGGGAGGTATACATAAGGGAGAGAATATTAAGTAATCCTTAGGTCATTACTCATTAGATTATATCACATAAGAGCTTGGAATAGTTCACATAAATCTCAGTGACAGTATCAAAAACTCTAGAATTTATATAATTATGATTTTAATTACCATGCAATACTGTTTTCTGACTTGAATAAAAAGAGGCTTCCTCTGAGAACAATGGTATAGTACTGAACACTTCCTTACTTCCCACATACTTCAGTTTTCTTAAAACATAAACTTTCTCGGATCAAGAATCTATACCAAGTTCTTAACATTGGCTGTCTCTTGAGTATGAGGCCCAGGCTCTATCCTAAAAGTACTCCATCAGAAGCTTATGAGTAGTGTTCAGGGCTGCTGCATTTTAAAAGTTCCATTAACGATTCTTTCTCTATCAGAAACGGGCTGTTTCTTTTTAAAAGTTCCATTAGTGATTCTGAATGTAGAATGAAGTGAGGACCATGATGTTTTATATCACACCATCTTGTGAAAGAATATAAGACATGATTTAACTGTGTGACTAATTTATTAGTTGACAGGTACTCTGGGGGTATAGAAGTGTTATTCTAATAGCATTTATATATTCTTTAGGATTGTTTTTAATGTCTTAAGTCATAAGGTAATTGATCATTTACCAATTTAATATACATTAGAATGAAAATTTAACCACATTTCTGTGTGTGCACAAAGCATCATCTTTACAGATTCTATAAAGTTATGTCTACTTTAAAGGACAACTAGAATTCAACAGTTTTTACTATAAACTTCTTTTAAGTATGACAACGTGGATGGACTAAGCAGTTTCTCCTATTTGAAAAATCTCTTCACCTCCAACTCTCACGGTATTATTAAAGGTAATTACGCATGTTTATTCTCTTCTAGGTATGTGTGTGTATGTATATATTATACATACACATACATTTTCTTAAAAGAACTCAGCTATAGTTACGGTAAAAAAAAATATGCAAGTAAAAATGAGCAGTTATATACATAGTTGTTAAGCAGTTTAAATTTTATTGACCTCTCGGTTTTTAAAAAAAGTTAATTTTAAGGTCACACCTCTAAATTTGATATACTATATACAGATCGTGCAGAATATGACTATGAAGAGATACAAATTAGTCCATGCCCAAAAAGATTTACTAGAATACAGAATCATTTTCATAAATACATATAAAATTCTTGTGAACATAGAAGAGGACTGGCTGTCCAGGTCTTCTGAGACACTTTTCAAAGTGATTCAAGGCACAAAGTGTACACTACTGTGAATACACACATATTCCAGACTTTGTGCCTCTAAATACAGCCCATTAAAGATTTGGCTTCATGACTTACAAAACTAAATGTACTGAAATGAGATTCTGCTTTTTAGCTGAAAAACCACAGGACCTATAAACATCATATAGATAATTACTCCAAAATATGGAGATACAAATACAAGCACTTTATTTTAAAAAGCAAACACAAAAGATAGGTGTAAATTCAAAAGTGTTTAAACGCTTCCCATTTGAGTAATTCAATTAAGAACCTATACAGGTTTGTTCCCAGAAGCTAATGCATCACTAGTCTCTACTATGGGAAATGAATTCTAAAAATCACCATGGTTTTCAGTAATTCAAATGTCACTATTTATATAAAAACCTAGAGAGACCAATAATATCCAATAGCTTCAAAAGATAAGCTAGACTCTTTGATGTAATCAACTTTATCAGCTTTTGTCCAGGTCTGTTTAATATATACATAAGGAAAATACTCACTCTATAATTTCTTATAAAATAGTAAATAAGGAGTAGATGTAGGAGATGTAGAAGGGGAAAGAGAATTCAAAAAGTCCTTCTCTTCTGTAACTTTCACTTCAGAATCATCAAAAAGTAACCACTTCCCCTCATACTCCTTTAAGCTTTGCACTACGTATGAAATTTTGTTCTCAAATCCACTAAAGTTAATGCCTGTTTGGTCACTGGATTCCTTGTTTGCATCAAATTCATGGGTCCCATTAGTATTGTTAGTCTCAGAATTTCTATTTTCAGCAAATGCTGTACTGGCAACTTTATCGGGATTAGATGCTTTGTTGTATAGCTCATAATCTGCTTTGCTCTTTTGTCCTCCAAGAAGTCCAATAGCTTCTACATTTTTTTTGTTCAAAACTTTACTTGGCTGTGTATTTCCACTGACTCTAATTGACACTTCTTCATCATCATAATTTTCAACCACACCCCTTGCTTCCTCCTCATTCAATGGTTCTGGCTTACCTATTTCACACATTTGGTCGATCACAAAATTTCCCTTATCTAGTTCTAAACTGTTAAGGTCGGTGACTTTAACAGAAGCAGTGTAGTGCCCACTACTGATGGTGATGCCACTGTGCATCACAACCGCAAATAAGCCATAGCTGTCGTTGGTTGGCTTTGTGCTCCATTCTTCTAGTGACAGTTTAAGAGGTGTCAGTAAAGGAGTGTTGATCTTGGAAAGTCCACCACCATAACAATCAAACCTTTGGAAGGAAAAAAAAAAGGGGTTTTCTGCAATTCCACTTTACATATATTCAGTTTTACCCCCAAATGTGAAACCAAGCAGAAGTCTGAATGACCCTTAATATTTAGTGCTTATATAAACATAAAATAAAAACCAGACTCTAATTTTGTATACTTATGTATAATTCACCTGTTTCTGTGAAGGATATATGGCATTCTCCCTTTCATTTTTTCTACTTTCCTAATTTTGTACAATGAGAAAATCCGTTTTTAAATGCCATTTAACTTCAAAATCTTTTACATTTTAGTTAAGTAATTTTAATACGAAGGCTTTCTCTACCAGGATTTGGGGAGCAAAGAAAATGTCCACTGAAAGAAAGCACTGTGTGTCATCTTCAGGCATAATATAGTGTGTAGAGAACTACTGGAAAGCCCTCATGGTAATTTCAAACCATTTACATGTATACATGTCACAAAGATACTTAAATTTTCAATGAGAAGAATCTCTCATTCTTCAAAGAACTAGTTTGACTCCTGGTTACTTTGAAAATGAAATAATTCTGCCTTTTTCTCCCCTAAAAAAAAAAAAATCTCAATGTATATAAAAATCTCTTTGCTTGCTTTAATCAATTCAACTTGAAACTGTTTCTAATAAGGAATGAAGATTAAAAGATGTGGGAAGAAATCCTAGAATGTGTATTCATACCAAAAGGATTTAAATTGATGCATTTTTACAAGAAAACTGTTAAAAAGAGAACAGACTTTTCTAAGGTAATCTTTATAAATTCATTTCAGTAGTTTATATTATGCTATTACGCTATTTTACTATTATAGTATTTTGAACAAAACTTCTTATAGAGCTTATTTTTTTTCATGTAGCTTTTATTTATAATACTCACTCCAAGCCACTAGCAGCAAAGCACTTCAAATGAATAGTTATAACTTCAGGCATTTTGTCAAACAAAAGACTTCGTTCGGCTTCAGTATAATGATGGCAATTTTCACAGAAATATTTATCTTCTCCTACAATCCTCTCCACTGAAGCAAACTGTGAAATCGCCCATCTCAGGGTCTTCATTTCTGTTTTTGGCTCTGGAGAAACTACATAAGAGAGTTCCTTTCACTCACAAATGAAAAACCTCTCAGACATTTAAAATTAAACAAGGTCCATGTCCAAAATTAACATGCAATTTCAATTGACTAATCCTTCCCAAATAGTAAAAACATTCCTTTGAGTTTCAGAAACTTTTAAGTTCATCCTCAACAGTATACGTATCTTTTAAATATTTGTATTTGGGCAGCCAGAAAGTATTTAGGTGACAGGACGGCAAAATGAAGATAACCTACTCTGAGTGTTAAGACAGACTTTAGTTTAGCTATTAATTTCCAGTATCTGAAGAGGTAAGCCAGTCTCGTGATCACTTCCCATATCTTTCCCTACTTTTTAAACAGTGGCTCAAAGATGTAACTCTAA